CTAAACATACACTGTTTTACATTTACTTATTTATTTCAGGTACTTATATAGCGCCGTCAATTTACGCAACGCTTTACATATATATTGTATTTTCACATCAGTCCCTAACCCTCACAGGGCGTATAATCTACAGTCCCTAACTCCCATTCATACATACACATACTAGTGCCAGTTTAGACTGGAGCCAATTAACCTACCAGCATGTCTTTGGAGTGTGGGAGGAAACCAGAGTACCCGGAGGAAACCTATGCGGGTTAAGCACCTGTAATAAAATAATACAGCATTTATTTTTTTTTTTTTTTTTTTTATTTTTTTATAATGTGGGTTTAGTGACACTAATAAATGTCACTACTTTCACAGTTAACAGTTGACACTCTGCACAGCTGCAACATGTCATACCCACTGTTATCTGTAAACCATCAGGAACCAAATAGAGTGGTTCCTGACAATATGACTGTCAGCCATGACAAAGTGATCACATACATACTAAAGGCTATATTCAGAAAAAAAATGGTTTTAAGATTGCAGGGTGCCTCTATTTATTACTATAATTGCCTGAGACAATTACAGCATTAAAAAAAATATTACTACAAAAGTTTGAAAAATGTATAAAATGTTTTTTTTTTATACATAGGGCTTAAACATACATAAACAATTCAAGTAGACAGTTTAGTCGTAGCAGAAGCTGCTGTAGATTCTCTCACTAGGAACCTTTTTAGATTAACTTTGTGCCCAACTTGAAAACTGAACTTTCCCTAATTTTAGCATGTTGTGTTCTGCTAATTGGCCTGTCATTTCTCTGTATACTAGTATTGAGAATGTGATCGGGTTTTCTCTTCTTTTTATAACAGTGATGATTCCAGCCTATTCCTACAACAGAGCCTACTCCTTGTTCTTCATCATCTTCACAGTTCTAGGTGAGTCCCTGTAGTCCCAGCAGTGTCGTCCCGAGGCAGGTGCGGGGGGGTGCGGTCCGCACCGGGTGACACCGGACCCACTCCACAAAAAGGTAAGTTGTAAAGCAAGCCAACGATCCCCGCAGGATGGATCCGATCCATCCTGCGGGCATCGTCCGCTTTCTTTACAACTTGCCTTTTTGTGGAGCGGGTCCGGTGTCACCCCGTATAGGTTGCATGCTGACAATCCTGCAGGGATCATCAGCATGCAACCTATACAGGGTGACACTGGACCGCTCCAAGAAAAGGTAAGTTGTAAAGAAAACTGATGATCCCTGCAGGATGGATCGGATCTGCGGATTGAGCATAATGGATCGGAGCATAATGGATAATGGATGCATGAGGTTAAAAAGACTTCAGCCTTTACATCCACTTTAGGAAGCACTTAACCACTTGCCGTCCGCCTGCTGTTTATAAACGGCAGAATGGTGGTACTCCAGGGGCGGGTTGCCATTCATAAACGGCACCCGCCATTTCTAGCTGTGCGCGCTCCCTGGGAGCACGCAGCACCGCGATCCGGTGCCTGCTGTGTCCTCCAGACATAGTGGAACACCAATCGTTGGGCGGGACCTCTGTACGAGGTCCCGATCATGTGATCACTGATTGGCCGATCAGTGATCACATGCAAAGTAGTAAGCAAGATGTCACTTGTGACATCATTGCTTACTACGTGTGAAATCTGTGAATGATCACAGAGGTCACATGGTACAAGACTATTCACAACAGCCTTGTACTATGTGACAAGCTGTGACCAATCACAGATCACTCAGTAGTTCTCAATGGCTGCAAGAATGCAGACAGAGAGAAAGAGAAATGATTGCTTTTACATCCTATATGGGTGTAAAAGCAATCACTGTAAAAAAAAAAAAAAAAATCTTCACCCCCCACAAGTAGTACAGTGTCACCATGGTGACACTGTACTGCTAGGGTGACGGTATGTAAAAAAACATAAATAATAATATTAAAAAAAAAATAAAAATGTAAAAGATTTTTTAAAAAATTATAATTTTTGGTTATAAACTAATTTGGCTTATTTTATTTTTTACTAAAAAGATAACGGAATACATTTCGGTCAAGATTTACGATGAAAGATTATTTATTTGCAAAATTTTATAAGAAAAACACTTTTTTTTCAAAATTTTTGGACTTTTTCATTTACATAGCAAAAAAAATAAAAATCGCAGCGGTTAATAAATACCACCAAAATTAAGATTTATCTGTCTCAAAAAAAATGATAAAAAATTCATATGGGTCCAGTGTTGCATGAGCACGCAATTTAAAGTGTGATAGCGCTGAAAGCTGATAATTGCCCTGGACAGGAAGGGGGTGAAAGTGTCCGGACTGGAAGTGGTTAACCCTTGCAGTGTTGGTGAGAGGGTATTTTTTACAGAGATCCCAACGTTGAGTTTAACCGCTTGTGGACTGCCCACTTACATCTATGGCAGCAGGGCAGCCACTCTGCGCCGGATCACATACCTAGTACATGATCCACTCTTCTGGTTTGGAAGATTGATGACTGGGACCTGCTGATCTGCTCAGTGAGTCACAGAACAGATTTCGAATCCCCCCCACTTTCTGTCCTCTCCTACCACTGAGAATATGGAGCATCTGCCACCATGGTATACATCCCCACTTGTCCAGTCTCCTATTCCTTGCTGCACCGCTCCTGTGTGAACTCCGGTTATGACAGCCTGCTGTCCTATAAACTCAAGAGGAAATGAAAGGAAATCTCTCAAAAATAAGGGGGGGTATCCTCTTGGGTTACCTTCACACAAACGTTGGCACTTAAATGGCTTAACACCTATAGTGTTTTGTGTTACGGATGCGCCGAAATTTCGGTGGCTAAAAACGTTTTGGGCGAAAACACCCCTTTCGGCCGTCGGCAGAATTGAAAAAAAAAAGCACCAATACAGGTGCCGAAAAAAACCCGCCCCTCACTGCTGCCGCCTACGCGTCAGCCGCTGCCGCCGCTCGGTGGTTCTCAGCCTTACCTGAGAAACAATCGATCCCGGCACTGGGCATAGAGATGAGTGAAGGAAACATGGCTGCCACTCTCTATGCCCTCGGAGGACTGGAGCGATGTCACTTCCTGTTCCGGCCATTTTTTTTTTCTTTTTTAACCTCCTTAGCGGTATTCCCGAGTGTAGCTCGGGGTAAAATGTCAGTACCAAGAGCGGTAACCCCAAGCTACACTCAAGCTTACCATGCAGCGTTGCTCAGGGAGTCCCTGCAGCACTTACCTTGTCCTTCACTCCCACGATGTGTCTCCTACAGCGTCCCCGGCCATCTCCTCCGGCTGATGCCGGCATCCGGCTTCCGTGTTCCGGTCCCTGTGACGTCGGGATGTACGGGTGCCGGAACCCGGCGGCAAATTTGAAATTTTTTAAAAATGTCGTTTTTTTTTTTTAAATGATTATCACATAGTAAAACATTGCTGTTTCAATGCATTTCACATACATTTTGTCCCGAGTGCTTTGTCCGGCGCCCTGCCTGCATTTTGACTGTTCTTTCTGCCTGGAAACTGAGAAATGTCCATGGCGTCCAAAAAGCGTCCCTTTAGGTCAAAAGCGGGTTTAGATCAGCTAGAGAACAGCGATAGTAAATCAGAACCACTTGCAGAATTGAGTGATAATGATTCGTGGGGGAAATTCGTCATCAGACACTGAAAACGATTTTGCGACTTTGCTCAGTGATGTGCGAATTTGCCTCTGTATTTCAAATTTCAGTGTTTTTGGTCTGATTATATTATTGAATTAAATTTATTATTATTATATTATTATTTTTTATGATTATTTATTAAATTATAATTTATGATTTCGTGTTTCAAATTTTATCCTACCCGGGATGTTTACTAGACTCTTGTTCGGACAGATTTCAGTGAGTTATTCCTAAAAATTACAGCCTACAATAAAAAACTACATATTTCCATGCAAAATAATGGTACCGCTTTCAGCACCAAAAAAATCGGAAAGAATCATACCGCCGAGGAGGTTAAAAACACTAGATCAATGCTTTTTTTTTTTTTTCTTGATCCCAATGCTTTACATTGTAGAGGAGAAATGTGGGGTCTTATTGACCCCATATCACGCTATAAAGAGGACCTGTCACTAATTATTTCTATCACAAGGGATACATGCATTCCTTGTAATAAGAATAAAAGTGATTACATTTTTTTTAAAGGAACAGTGCAAAAAAACCCACAAAACATTAAATAAATTTAAAAAAAAAAATTTTTTTTTATAGTGCCCCAGTCCCCCCGTGCTCGCATGTAGTGGTGAACGCATACATAGGCCATGCCCTCATATGTAAATGGTGTTCAAACCACACACGTGAGGTATCGTCACGAACGTCAGAGCAAGAATTCTCGCACTAGACCTCCTCTGTAACTTTTCACTGCTAACCTGTAGAACTTTTTAAAGCATCACCCATAGAGATTTTTAAATACCGCAGTTTCACGCCATTCCACGAACGTGTGCAATTTTAAAGCATGACATGTTGGGTATCTATTTACTCGCTGTAACATCCTCTTTCGTATTTTACAAAAAAATTGGGGTATATATTGTTGTTGTTTTTTTTTAATCACTTTATTTTTTTTCCCAAAAATATATATTCATTTTTTAAAACTGTGCATTTTGGTTTCGGTTTTCGGCCAAGTGCATTTGGAATTTTTGTTTTCGGCACCAGAATTTTCATTTCGGTGCATCACTAGTTTGTGTTATAGATGCATTTTTGAGGCATTTACACAGTGATTGTTAAACACGTGAAGCTTCGCTTCCAGTGCTGGGTCAGTCTCTGAGTGGTGGGATGACTGGCTCCTGCACATGCACAGGACTGATGTCATCCCCCACTGGCCAATGAAGAGGCCCAAAGTCTGGCATTCTGCCGGTGAGGGAATGTTGGACAGGTAAGTATTCAGCTTTTAGTTCTGCTATAACTACTTGCTGATCCTATGTAAACGGTGTTGTCAGGGCTTTCTACTTTGTTACCTGGCTTTAATTCTATCAATTTCTCTATTACACAGGCAGTCTTATTTTGATGAACTTGCTGACAGCCATAATCTACAATCAGTTCCGCGGCTATTTATTGGTAAGTTCCAACAACCAATCAAATTTCATATCCCTTATCGATCACAGAACAAGTGTTAAAATCTGATTGCTAGGTTCATACAATAGCCCATTCATTACATTTGACTGCAGTTTCCCAGATCTGGCACCCAAAAACCACACTGAATAGAGCAGTAATGGCTTGTGGTTGCCGGAAATAATAAGGGCCTATTCACCTATTTGTTTTTCTGCAGTAAATTTTTTTTCTTCTGTGTGGCTGGTTTATATTATTTATTTCAGGTACTTATATAGCGCCGTCAATTTACACAGCACTTTACATATATATTGTACATTCACATCAGTCCCTAACCCTCAAGGGGCGTACAATCTAAGGTCCCTAACTCACATTCATACATACACATACTAGGGCCAATTTAGACAGGAGCCAATTAACCTACCAGCATGTCTTTGGAGTGTGGGAGGAAACCAGAGTACCCAGAGGAAACCCACACAGGCACAGAGAGAACATGCAAACTACTCCAGGCAGGTTGTGCCGTGGCTGGGATTCGAACCAATGACCTTAGTACTGCCAGGTGGAAGTGCTAACCTTTTAACCACTGTGCTGCCCTATGCTGAATTTTTGTGTTTATTTAAAAGAAAACTCTGACACGTAGGTGTGTGCAATAGCTTGTGCCCTGTAGTGTGCACGCATAAGTGTGGCTAGGCCCTAAAAAATATTTCATCCCACACACATTCATCAGCTATTGGCGCACACACAAAATCTTGCCAAGCTTTCCCAAGTGGAAGTTTTTTACAGCAGCAAAACAAAACATTTCTTATATTGCAGCTTACCAATTTGTAGACGTAGTGGCTGCATTAATTTTCTCTTTTTATGCTTTCTTTCATTTATTTTCCTCTGGTGATACAGCCAGTAGGTTTTTCACAAGTTCTCTTGCAAATTGTATGAGTTACAGGGTATAAGACAAACCATTTACCACTGACGGGTGCTTACAGTGATCAGCTTTTATTTATGTAAAACCTTTATCCCAAAAGGAGAAAACCTGTTTGCTGTAATTGCTTATATTTATCTATTTATTTCAGGTAGTTCTATAGCTCTGTCAATTTACACACTGCTTTACATATATATTGTACATTCACATCAGTCCCTAACCCTCAAGGGGTGTACAATCTAAGGTCCCTAACTTACATTCATACATACACATACTAGGGCCAATTTAGACAGGAACCAATTCACCTACCTGCCTTTGGAGTGTGGGAGGAAACCGGAGTACCCGGAGGAAACCCACACAGGCACAAGGAGAACATGCAAACTCCAGGCAGGAGGTGCCGTGGTTGGGATTCAAACCAATGACCCTAGTACTGCCAGGCATCCATCCCTAACCCTCAAGGGGCGTACAATCTAAGGTCCCTAACGTATATTCATACATACACATACTAGGGACAATTTAGACAGGATCCAATTCACCTACCATCACGCCTTTGGAGTGTGGGAGGAAACTGGAGTACCCGGAGGAAACCCACGCAGGCACAGGGAGAACCTGCAAACTCCAGGCAGGTGGTGCTGTGGTTGGGATTCGAACCAATGACCCTAGTACTGCCAGGCGGAAGTGCTAACCATTTAGCCACTGTGCTGCCCTATAAAGTATTAGCTGCAGTTTGGCTTCAATTTGTTAGTGTATCTAAATCTGCTAGTCCATTTAACACTCCTCTCCCCCCAGACTGACAGTGCTGCTGTCCATGGGTGTCCCCTGTACTCCTTCATCCAGACTGATGGCATTTTAATACAGGAGGTGTGTTAATGGCCAGATTACCAGGTGAAAACAGAGGGGAAAAAGCCTAAAAAAGGAAACTAATGCAGCCATCACATTTAATGATTTGATAAGCTGCACATGTATAAAAATTTTGGGTTTAATACCATCTTAAGGTTCGAAAATAGGAGTGTGTGTGGGGGGGGACTCCGTATTGATGCCATGGTTTTGGAATGGGATGTCCCACAATTCATATACATGTGCTGATCCGGTTTCCACAAACGTTTGGCTCTCTGATGTATGTTTTGTGCACTAATCTAGTTTTGATGCTGTACAGTCAGCCGACAATCTTCATTTTTTTTTTCCCCGTAGAAATCTGTTCAGACTTCTCTACTCAGACGGCGGTTGGGAATTCGAGCTGCCTTTGAAATCCTTTCCTTCCACAGAGAAGTTATATCGCACAGTTGTGACCAAGCGTAAGAATTTCATCTTTAACTGGTGGGCAAAGACTAGCATTGCCTGTGGAGATTTCAATTGATGACTCTAGTCAGTGGCTAGGCTTAGCCCTCCAAGTGTCTGCCTGCTGAATGGAACCTGTACAGAGGGTGTGGAATACCAAGTATTATGGGAACAATGGGGCTGAAGAAGAGCAGCTTTTCTTTGCCTGTATTTGTTGTCAGTGAAGTATGGAAGGCTTTAGTGCCATATATAAAATATCCAGCCTTGTACTCTACAGGAGGAAAACTAAAGATTGGATCTGATCTGGTTTGCTCTGCATTTTTAGGGATTTTCTTAAAGTGACATTTAACATTTATAGGTAAAGTTGATCCATGGAATATCCAATTGCCTCTCGGGGGATCAGGAAGGAATTTTTTTCCCTTCAGGAGCAAATTGGATCATGCTTTGCTGGTTTTTTGCCTTCCTCTGGATCAACTGTGGGGATAGGATTATAACTTTTTTTTTTTTTTTTTTTTTAATGGTTGAACTGGATGGACTTTTTTGTCTTTTTTCAGCCAGACTAACTATGTAATTATGATATCAAAGGTCTTTCTTTTTTTTTTCTTAAAATAAAAAGATTCCACTTACCTGCTCTGTGCAATAATAGTGGGAAGAACCGTTCCTTACCTCCTCTTTGTTGCCTTTTCAGCAAGCTGGTGCTATGGGGGTCACTCTTGTGCATGCGCTCACAAGCCGGGCTCTATATATCCATAGACACACAAATGCTATGCCACTGACAGCAGCAGCAGCCCGTGGCTCCACTGTCCTCAGTGTCTCTGTGACACCAGGAGGAGGCGAGAGTGGTGCTGCAGCCAGGACAGAGCTGATTCGCTGAGAGGACTTGGGTAAGTGTTTAAGCCTAGTGGGGCAGCACAGTGGCTAAATGGTTAGCACTTCTGCCTGGCAGCACTAGGGATTCCTCCGTGTACTCAGATTTCCTCCCACACTCCAAATACATTCTGGTAGGTTCATTGGCTCCTGTCTAAATTGGCCCTAGTAAGTGTATGTATGAATGTGAGTTAGGGACCTTAGATTGTACACCCCTTGAGGGTTAGGGACTGATGTGAATGTACAATATATATGTAAAGCGCTGTGTAAAATGACGGCGCTATATAAGTACCTGAAATAAATAAATAGTACACCTGGGCCGAATGTCAGGCGGCATTTGCCGATTCAATAGAAAACAGATGACATTCGGCCCGTGTGTACATCAGTGGGTCCGACTGAAGCCGGGCACTCAACCAGCTTCTGTCAAAGGGGTATGATCGAAAAGGTTTGCCGATCAGCTCCCAATCAATGGTTTCAGCCAATGGCTGAGAGTGCTGACTGGATTGGTCTGGTGGGGGGCCACCCCCTGTCAGAGCACAATAGCACAGCAGGGGAAGATCACTGTACTACATTGGATAGTACAGCGGCTCCTCCTGTGCTGTCAGTTTTTTTTATTCGTTCAGTAAATCATTACTGCACAGTGGCTAAATGGTTAGCACTTCCGCCTGGCAGTACTCGGGTCGTTGGTTCGAATCCCAGCCACGGCACCTCCTGCCTGGAGTTTGCATGTTCTCCCTGTGCCTGCGTGGGTTTCCTCCGGGTACTACGGTTTCCTCCCACACTCCAAAGACATGCTGTTAGGTTAATTGGATCCTGTCTAAATTGGCCCTTGTATATGAATGTGAGTTAGGGACCTTAGATTGATTGAGGGTTAGAGGATGATGTGAATGTACAATATATATGTAAAGCGCTACGTAAATTGACGGCGCTATATAAGTACCTGAAATAAAAAATTACTGGGGACACCTGTTCAGTGACAACAAAGAGTGGATTTGCCTCAATTTCTGCTCTGTCCCTGGAATAGAAAGTGAAAATCTCTTCTTCTTTTTGCTTTCTGTATCCTAACGGGTTTTACCATTCGCCAGACTTTCTAAAACTAACAGACAATGTGGCGTTAGATGCACTGCAAATGTTTTTATACCCAAGTAGTCTGTATTTTGATCACAGGAATGTTGTGGGTTTTTTGTTTTAATTTTTTTTATCCATTGCAATTTCAGATGCCATTGACTATTGGCAGAGTTTTTTTCTTTTTGTCCCATGTTATTATCATTTTTAAACTCCATATACCTAAGCCCAACTCCAGCCAAAACTTTTTTTTTTATCATTTTGGGTAGATTTGATGAAGCGTTAGAACCTCTGATGGAATTTCATTGCTTCTGTGTCCCCTCCTGGGATATTTCCCATTGGTTTTTAATTTGTGTGACTCCAGGACAAAGAGGTCACCAAGGATTGGAAGCTACAGACACCCGTTTTTAACCTCATAATGCTTTTAGTCTTTCCACAAACCACTAAAGTGGTGTTGATGCTTTCTCTATTCCCATTGAAGAGATTTTTTGTCATTTCCTATCCCTCTGATTTCCTATCACTCAGACAGGAAGTGAGGGACAATCTCCTCAAAGGGGCACAAGCAGCATTCAAAAAAACTGATACAGGTTCCAGCCCTTCCACACTTTTTTTTTTCCACACTTATTTTTCACTAAACTAAAACAAAAAGAGTTCAGCTTGATCAGAATCTGGAATCTAAATGGACTTTCTCTTTAGGGCCTGCGTTGACTGTGTAACCTTCGTTAAAGTCTTACAGGAAGTAAAAATGGATGGCTACTGCAAACTAGCAATCATCGAGGTAAAATCAAGAGGGGAATACAATTACCAATATTGCTTTTTTATTAGTTTTTTTTTTCATAAAAAAACATTCTTTTTGTTTTCATTTTAGAAAGTAAGATGCTTCCCCAGCGGTGTTATCTCTGCAGAGCAATTTCAGAAACTATTTGATGAACTTGATAAGGATCCCGTCAGACAGGTGATGTATATAGGTTCTAATGAATAAATAACCTCCTTGACTCAACTCCCACCAAAAAGTCACACTTTCTCCCTAGAAAGTACAATATAATAAATAAACCTTTTTTTGATATACCACGTGAATTACCAAAGAAAAATATGAAAATAAATAAAACAAAATAAAACCATAAAGTGTCCAATTCAATTTCAGTCTCAAATGTGTCCAATAAAGTCCAAAATCCAAATTTTCAACTTCAATCCAGTAAGAAGGATTATAATCCTAATTACCGTATATACTCGAGTATAAGCCGACCCGAATATAAGCCGAGGTACCTAATTTTACCACAAAAAACTGGGAAAAACTATTGACTCGAGTATAAGCCGAGGGGGGAGGAATAGTGCCCCATCGTTGGTGTCAGTGGGGGGAGGAATAGTGCCCCATCGTTGGTGTCAGTGGGGGGAGGAATAGTGCCCCATCGTTGGTGTCAGTAGGGGGAGGAATAGTGCCCCATCGTTGGTGTCAGTGGGGGGAGGAATAGTGCCCCATCGTTGGTGACCCCTGCTCCAGCCTGGGCTCGCTCGCTCCCTCCCTCTCCCATGGTACACACTTACCGGTCAGATGTCTTCCTTCTCCGGCCGCTCTCCTCCTCTTCACTCGCTCGATCTTCGCGGTGCCGCTCGGCTCCTCCTCTCCAAGCTCCACCTCCTCGCCGGTGATTGGGCGCCTGTGTGCCTCTCCTGAGCTACAGTTCCGGCGGCCAATCACCAGCGAGGATTGATCCCGGGGTGTGTCCAGATGACAGGGACGGCATGTCATCTGCAGACGTTGACTCGAGTATAAGCCGAGGGGGCCGTTTTTCAGCACAAAAAATGTGCTGAAAAACTTGGCTTATACTCGAGTATATACGGTATTCGACGAAAACCTCAGAAAAAAGAAATAATCTATAGTGCATTACCTTTTAGCATGTAAATAACACTCCAATCCGTGCAAATCACAAACCACTCTCTTTAAATGTGCGAAATACATAAAAAAAAAAAAAAATATATATATATATATATATATATATATATATATATATATTAAACCAAAAACGTGAGCACTCCGTGATCACTCCAATATTGTGTGCACTCTGTGATCCAACCAACAGTGATACTAAATACTATTACCCTCTGTGAGTATTCATATGCATAGTCAATACTATGGAATCAGACTCTTCTCATTCCTTTACTTCAGGGGTACTCCTCCAAAGTCCTCACAAAAACAAGAAGACTTTTAGACGGATCTCAAAGTATAGGGACAAATTTATTCACAACTTACATCGAAATTAGGAACTTCCAGCTCTCTCGATGGTTTTCTCAGTGGCTTTGTAACAGCTCTGCAAACACTAGCTGAAAACCATGTGTTGGCAACCAACAAAATGGGCACGGCGACACTTCCGTTAGCGTGTGTGCGTCTTGACGTCACATCCCTAACGCGTTTCGTCACTTCTGGACTTCAGGTGACACATGGCGGTTTATTTACTGAGCCCTGGTTCACATCTCTGCGGCCGTGCGAGCCTCGTTTTGCGCGGGCACGGGAGCTTATTCATTTGAATGGATTCCCGTGACACGCAGGAAAGATGTCCTTGCACTTCTTCTGGAAACGCAGCCCGCACGGGAACCTTGGTTCCCAGTATGGTTGCGGTTTCCAGTGCGGGCGGCATGCCATTAGAACTAATGGCACCCACCTGCGGGTATGCATTCTTCTGTGCGGGTGGTACGGCTGCATGGATTTTCGTGCTGATCCGCAGCGGCACCACCGGCACAGATGTGAACCTAGCCTAAAACTGGAGAGTGCAAAATGTGGTGCAGCTGTGCATGGTAGCCAATCAGCTTCTAACTTCAGCTTGCTCAATTAAGCTTTTACAAAGAAACCTGAAAGCTGATTGCAGAGCTGCACCAGATGTTTCACTCTCCAGTTTTAGTAAATGAACCCCATACTGTTGTAGGGTTTATTGTGATGCACCTATTGCAAAATCCTGGTTTCTCTTGTCATTTGTTAGGGACCGCACACTACATCTGGGTTAATGCCCTTACTGTGAGAGCGTGAACAACTGCAAGATTTCTTCCTTTCTCATAACCTGTAACTCTGGTGCTACTTTATCGGTGTTTGCTTAGCCGTGCAGGGCCAAGGTTCTCTGGCACTTGAGGCCCCTGTCCTTCTCCCGCAAGCTATTGTAGTATCTTTCATTCATAAATGACAGCAGAGAAGGACCTGTTTTGTCACACTGACAGTGATGATGCTACAGATTACACTAGGAGGTCACAGCTCTCATGGTGTAATCAGTGGAGAACTTCTGGCACTTTGACAGCTATTCACAGCACTCTGTACATCAGGATCAGACCATGCCAGCTGTCACTGTGGTTGAAGAGCTCTGCTATTTGCACAGGGAGAGTAATGATCTCCCAGTATGATCTGTGGGACTGAGATGTCACTTTGACAGTCCAGTACAGCACCGAGCAGGTGATAGCCAGGGCAATGCGACAGCAGGAGAGGCTGCACCTCCTGATAGAGAACTCTTCTGCCTTATCATGGCTCTGCTGTTTAACCTCCCTGGAGGTATTCCCAAGTGTAGCTCGGGGTAAAGTTTCAGTGCAAAAAGCGGTAACCCCGAGCTACACTCAGGCTTACCATGCAGTGCTGCTCCGGGATCTGTTCTTCACTTACCTTGTCCTTCGCTCCCGCGATGTCCCTCCTGCAGTGTCCCCGGCAATGTCCTCCGGCGCATGCCGGCATCTGTCATCTGGGTTACGTCCCCTGCGAGCGTCGGGACTTACGGGGACAGAAATTTGAAAATGACAAAAAGTGACATTCACTAAATACGCAAAAATCACATAGTATAACATTACTGTATCAAACCATTTCACATACATTTTGTCCCGAGTGCTTTGTCCGGCGCCCTGCCTGCATTTTTACTGTTCTTTCTGCCTGGAAACTGAGAAACGTCCATGGCGTCCAAAAAGCGTCCCTTTAGGTCAAAAGCGATTTTAGACCGGCTAGAGAACAGCGATAGTAAATCAGAACCACTTGCAGAATTGAGTGATAATGATTCGTGGGGGAAATTCGTCATCAGACACTGAAAACGATTTTGTGACTTTGCTCAGTGATGTGCGAACTTGGCGCTATATTTCAAATTTCAGTGTTTTTGGTTTGATTATATTATTGAATTAAATTTATTATTATTATATTATTATTTTTTGTGATTATTAAATTATAATTTATGATTTTGTGTTTCAAATTGTAACATACCCGGGATGTTTACTACACTCTTGTTCGGACAGATTTCAGTGAGTTATTCCTAAAAATTACAGGCCTACAATAAAAAAAATACATATTTCCATGCAAAAAAATTTACCGCTTTGAGCACAGAAATATGGACGTAATCAGACCGTTAGGGAGGTTAAAGCTGATTTAAATAGTTTGGGCCAAATTAACTACCATATTTTTCGCTCCATAAGACGCACTTTTTTCCCCCCAAAAAAGGGGGGGGAAATGTCAGTGCGTCTTATGGAGCGAATATGGAGCAGCCGGTCCGGTATTTCCACCGCTGCCGTGTCAGAATCCCGGGCCGGCCGCTCAGCTCTGCAGCGGGACCTTATGGAGATGACTGCTGACCTTTGGGGAGGTGGGGAGTGGGTACCTGAATTTGACAGGTACCCGCTCTTACTTCCGCGGAGTTGTTCTTTGACCTTACCTGTTCCTCTATCCAGCGGCGCGCTGTCTTCCCGGCTTCTGTAGTGTGGGCACTGGGCTTAACAGCTGGGTGCCCAGAGCACATGTGCAAGAAGCGGTGCTTTTTGTGAATGGTAAGGCGGTACCTGGGACACATGACAGATCCCAGAAGCCGCTGGACCAATCACAAAGCGCAAGTGCTTCTCGCTCATGTGCACTGGGCACCCGGCTGTCATGCCGAGCGCCCACACTACAGAAGCCGGGAAGACAGCGCGCGGCTTGATAGAGGAACAGGTAAGATCAAAGAACAACTCCGCGGAAGTAAGAGCGGGTACCTGTCAAATTCAGGTACCCGCTCCCCCCCTCCCCAAAGGTCAGCAGTTATCTCCTGTACTGTCCGCAGTCTCTGGTCATCCCTGTGCTGTCCGCAGTCTCTGGTCATCCCTGTGCTGTCCGCAGTCTCTGATCATCCCTGTGCTGTCCGCAGTCTCTGATCATCCTGTGCTGTCCGCAGTCTCTGGTCATCCCTGTGCTGTCCGCAGTCTCTGGTCATCTCCTGTACTATGTCTGCAGTCCATTAGTTCAGAATTTTTTTTTTTTCTGTTTTCTGCCTCTAAAACCTAGGTGCGTCTTATGGTCAGGTGCGTCTTATGGAGCGAAAAATACAGTATTTCCTACACTAACGTATGTGCTCACTGGGCACACTGCTGTATAAACTTTATGTAGCTCAGGCTACATAAAGTATACACACTGTGTTCCGGGTGTGAGATGAGAAATTCCCTTCTCACACCCAGAAAAAATAGGTCAAGCAGTGTTCAGCCATTCATGTGCAGCTTTGTATCCTATCAATGAATGCAAAGCTTCCTCAGGTTGGAGTCAGAGATTGTGAAGTCATCAGCCCACTTCTCCAGCTCAGCCAATCAGAGGAAACTATTAATGTATACAAAGCTGTCTATGAATGGCTGAAGGCTGCTTGGCCAGACTCCCTTTTGTTCCAGGTGTGAGATGGGAAGGTCCCATCTCACACCCGGAATACAGTTCTATATACTCTATTTACCTGAGGCTACATACAATTTTTACAGTATACCCAGAGGGCGCACATGTTGGCGTAGGAAATAGTCCATTTGGGACAGCTTTGCCAAATATTCTATTTAAAGTGACAGTAAAGCTGGACATCAACTTTAATGCCTCATTGCGAAACACAGCATCTCAGGCATTACTATAGATGTTCAACACACTTTTGCTAGCATCTCAGCAAAGATAGATCTCACATTGCAATAAATCGGCAAACTGATACACTCCCACGGCTTCAACTATCATCTCTACGCCGATGACACGCAAATTTACCTCTCCACCCCTCGCCTCACCCCTTCAGTCTCCGCCCGCATCACCCACCTACTGAATGACATATCAGACTGGATGTCGCTCCATTTCCTCAAATTAAACCTTTCCAAAACCGAGCTCCTGATTTTACCCCAGCCCGTGCCCCCCACCCTCTCCATCACGACCAACAACGCCACCATCATCCCCACCCCGCAAGCCAAAGTCCTAGGTGTCACTCTAGACTCAAACCTGTCCTTCCAACCTCATGTCCAATCGTTGGCAAACTCATGCAGGCTCCACCTCCGCAACATCTCCAAAATACATTCGTTCCTAACCTCAGACACTACTAAACTACTCGTACACTCCCTTATTATCTTACGCCTGAACTACTGCAACTCCCTTCTCACCGGCCTACCTCATCACAGACTCTCCCCGCTTCAATCTATCCTGAACTCAGCGGCCAGACTCATCCAGCTTACCAACCGCTCCTTCCGTCACCCCCCTCTGTCATTCCCTCCACTGGCTCCCGATTGCCCAACGCATTAAATTCAATCTACTAACACAGACATACAAAGCTATTCATAACGCTGCCCCGAACTACCTCACCGACCTGATACCCAAATACCACCCTACCCGTAATCTTCGCACCTCACAAGACCTCCTACTTTCTAGCTCCCTGGTCTCCACCTCCCACGCCCGACTGCAGGACTTCTCCAGGACTTCCCCCATCCTCTGGAACTCACTACCCCAATCCATCAGACTGTCACCTACCCTCCTCACCTTAAGGCGCACCCTGAAAACCCATCTCTTCAGGGAAGCCTACCCCACCCTCACCTAACTGCCGATCTCCTCCACTCCTCCCACCACTCCATCCCCCACAGCTACTTCCTCCTGCACCACTATCCCCTCCCTCCTAGATTGTAAGCTCGAAAGAGCAGGGCCCTCTAACCCCTCGTGTTTGTTTTGTTACTGTATTGTCTCATGTTCTGTCCCCCACTATAATGTACAGCGCTGAGCAAACCTTTTAGCGCTATATAAATGCTGCATAATAATAATAATAATAATAATAAATGCAAGGACATTGTCAGGTATGCCATATCATGTGTCAGACTTTGGTAATGGCCTCTGCACAGACTACTGTGAGAGGCAATGAGCTATCTTCATAAGCAAAGGAAAAGCAGTCTGGGATGTCCTGTTTACTAGTTGGAGGACTGCTGCCATGTCTGCAAAGGAGAGAAATCTGCAAGTTGGAAATGTACCTGTAAGAATTAGTAAGTAAATAAATGTTTTTTTGTTTTTTTTTTTTGCAGCACCCGCCCCAGCCTGTGTACCAGTCTAGGTTCCTGCAGATTTTGCAGATCATTGGAAGCCATCGGTACTTCGACTATCTGGGGAACATTGTGGCTTTGGCCAATCTCATTTCTATCTGTGTAAGTAGCAGACATGAACTACAAGTACAACAAGAGCGAAGCCTCCTTCTCACAAATTGTCATTTTATTGTACTGCATGCGACTTGGTTAGGATCTCCGCCTGTCTCCTCTTGCTGTCTTCCAGAAGGGCTCAGCTCAGCAGAAGTATAGTCAACTTAAATTCATCAAGAAATATAGGATCTGTCCTCCTCAGAACGGGGCTACTTGGCTATGGCCACTCTGTATCACTCCACCTCCCAGGGAGAGATCTATCTGGTTATGAACATTTCCCCTCCCTTTCTGCTTAACTACAACCCTGTGAGGTCTTGTACCAGATCCTTGTATTGGATGGTACTGAGCGATGCTGATAATATGAGCCATTGTGTACCACCAGGGTCAGGCCGAGAGATAGGCCAAAGAAGACGCTTCCTTGAGTGCTTCAGTAGGATGGGGCACAGAAAGGACAGGACCTAAAATCTTTGACTTTGAATTAGTTCACAGCTTATTGGGGAAGGGGGGGGGGTCTCTGACCTTTCTGCCTTGGGGTGCTGAACGGCCTTTCTCCAACATAGTGTACCCCTATTGTTTTGGATTGGTAGCAAAAGGTGATGTAGGCTGGGACCTTCAATCACTTCATTAGGCATTGTCCAGGCCCTAATCAGAAGCAGGCCCACTGCCTGACTGGAGCAGTTGATTATTTCATGAGCACTTAACCTGGCAAATGGTTTGGTCTATAATGTGGGGGCACACAACAGGAGGGTGGGGCAAGGAGCGCCAATGGGGGACCGGGAAGAGGAGGATCCAGGCTGCTCCGTACAAAACCACTACACACAGCAGGTAAGTAAAGATGTTTATTTTTTTTGTTAAAAAAAAATAAGGTTTTAGAGTCGCTTTAATCGACCAAAAGCAACACATTCCTCTGCATGTTTTTCCTAAACCAGAGGGCCCATTATCTCATATTATTTGTTATCGTGTAGTTCTGCATCAGCTTAGCATTTCTATTAATGAGACACCAAAATAGGCCAAAAGAATTATATTATGTTCAGTAAATCTTCTCTGATTTCCAGGATATATCTAATTTATTTGCATATTTGAATCTCTCATGCAGCATACTAAATAAGTGCAATGTTTCAGAGTCATTGCCACTTATTATAATAGACTTTTCTAAATGCTTTAAATGTTTCATTTTACAGTTAATCTGGTTGCAGGGTTATTGCAATTTGCATATTGTCATCCCTTTTAGACCTCATGCAAGGTGTTGGTGAGCACATAGAATATGATTTTCTTGCCATTTGGTGTCTGTCTAGGTTGTCTTGATGATCGATGCAGAGAAAGCTGGGAGTGAACGCGATGACTTCTCTTTAGGCGTAGGTACCTCTTTCCGTTTTTAGGTAACATGGCATTAACATGATATCGTTATGTAGCTTCCCTAGCGGTATTCCCGAGTGTAGCTCGGGGTAAAGTTTTAGTACCACAAGCGGTAACCCCGAGCTACACTCGGGCTTACCATGCGGCGCTGCTTCGAGATCTGTTCTTCACTTACCTTGTCCTGCGCTCCCACGATGTCCCTCCTGCAGTGTCCCCGGCAATGTCCTCCGGCGGATGCTGGCATATGTCATCTGGGTTCCGTCCCCTGCAAGCGTCGGGACGTACGAGGGATGGAACGGCGGGAAATTTGAAAATGACAAAAAGTGACATTCACTAAAATCACATAGTAAAACATTACTGTATCAAACCATTTCACATACATTTTGTCCCGAGTGCTTTGTCCTGTGCCCTGCCTTCATTTTTACTGTTCTTTCTGCCTGGAAACTGAGAAACGTCCATGGCGTCCAAAAAGCGTCCCGTTAGGTCAAAAGCAGTTTTAGACCAGCTGGAGAACAGCAATAGTAAATTAGAACTACTTGCAGAATCGAATGATAATGATTCGTGGGGGAAATTCGTCATCAACACTGAAAACGATTTTGCAACTTTGCTCAGTTATGTGTGAACTTGGCGCTATATTTCAAATTTCAGTGTTTTTGGTTTGATTATATTATTGAATTAAATTTATTATTAATATATTATTTTTTATGATTATTAAATTATAATTTATGATTTCGTGTTTCAAATTGTAACATACCAGGGATATTTACTAGACTCTTGTTCGGACAGATTTCAGTGAGTTATTCCTAAAATTACAGGCCTACAATAAAAAAAATACATATTTCCATGCAAAAACATTTACCGCTTTGAGCACAGAAATATGGACATAATCAGACCGCTAGGAAGGTTAAAATGTGTCTAACCCTTGATGCCCAACACATGGCCCACCAAGTAAAAGCCATGAAACTTGACCGCACTCCAACGATGTACCAGATAAAACTTCCATTTATTAGAATCTTCATACAAAAGACTCAAAGACATGTACTTCTGATTAAACACGTCTTTGTGTGAAATGCATTAACTGTCCGCTATTTGTATGTTGGAGTTGTGATCCATGCTTTTATATGAAGATTCTAATAAATGGAATTTTTATGTGGTACATCGTTGGAGTGTGGTCAGGTTTCATTGCTTTTACTTGATGCTGTGCTCATGGATCAGACCTGCACCTGTTGATGATCAGAGGGGCGGATGATTCACATACTCACCTGAAGCGGTCTGTCTGTTTTCTATATCACGTGCTCACCCAAACCCTCCGCTTGCAGGCTGTTGGGTACCAAATAGAAAGCAGAGAGTGGCATCCGGGTGCCGAATTCTGGAAGACGCTTTGTGTTCCCATGCTGGAACTGAAAGAGAGACTGTACTGTGGTCCGAGTTTTCTCTGCCCACAGTACAGGTAAAGTCCTGACCTGGGGAGAGGGAGAGATCAGTGCAGGAGCCTGCGATCAGGTAAATGGGGAGGGTGGTTAAAGCAGAATTCAAGTTAAATAAAAAAAAAAATGTAGCTGCTGACTTTTAAAATACAAACACTTACCTGTCCCTCGGTCCAGCGGTGTCCTCACCACAGCTGGTTTTACTGCCTGTCTTCTCTCCCTGGCACCGGCATCTTCAGTGCGGGCACCTGGCTGTGACAGCTTGCGATGACCATTGCGCATGCGCGAGTAACTCTGCGCTTTGTGATTGGTCCCGTAGTCTTCTGGGACCTGTCATGTGTCCCAGAAGACTAGGGGAGGACAACTGCTTCCGATCGCCTTAGGCGGATGTGGGAGTGGGTACCTCTCAAATTCGGATACCTGCTCCCCCCCCACCTCCCCAAAGGTGCCAATCCTTAACGGGGAGCAGGGGACAAAGGCTTAAAGTGGAACTTCCCCTTTTTGGTGGAGCTCCGTTTTTAACCTTTATTGCCACTGAGCCCGTAAGCCAGGAGGTTAAATTTCACTGCCAGTGACCACCATCAATGACACCAATGTTTGGGGCTGTTATTGTGTTCTCTGACATGCTCCTCAGGACCATCTGCAACATAAAAGTGTTTATTGTTCTTTAAATGAAAGCAAAGCAGCAACACAGAATTCACTTAACTCCAGAAAATGTAACAGAACCGTCTGCTTATCTTCAGCACAAACATCATAAGAAACTGATTTACACCAAGGTTAGCCCGGTCCAACCCTGGCTGTTTGGCAGCTCCCAGCACACGTGCATCACTCCAACAGGTCTGTTTTATGTGCTGCATCCTAGAAGCTGCTGTTTTCCCACCTGAATGTCACTGCGAACCTCTAAAATCTCGAGCTCCCGAATACGTCTCTGCTAATACAGAGAGAACTGCGAGTCAGTCCTCTCCTCTACATGACTACCCCGGAATACCTCACCCATGACGGGTAAGACCCCTGAATACACACCTCTTCTTCTTTTTTTTTTTTTTCCCCTTAAAGCAGTGGTTCTCAACCTTCCTAATGCCGCGACCCTTTAATACAGTTCCTCATGTTATGGTGACCCCCCAACCATAAAATTCTTTACCCAGTAATTATAATTCATGTGTCGTTTTACCTCCAATACTGCTGCTTTCAACACAGTAGCTGCTTTCAACACAGTAGCTGCTTTCAACACAGTAGCTGCTTTCAACACAGCAGCTGCTTTCTACACAGTAGCTGCTCTGTACACATCGGAAATATGTGTTTTCCGATGGTCTTAGGCGACCCCTGTGAAAGGGTCGTTTGACCCCCAAAGGGGTCGCGACCCACAGGTTGAGAACCACTGCCTTAAAGGGACCATAACCCAAATATCAGTGCCACATAGCACCCATCCAGGACCCATCCCTGGTGTCCTATACAACGTAAAAAGCATTTATCCTTTGCAGTGTGAAAGGGCCCCACTGCAAGGATAGACTTTTTGTAATGCCTGGAGTTGGGCTCTATTCTACACTTCTGGTGGTTAAAAAAACAAAAAAATAAAATGTTGATGTTCTGTAACTGTTTCACCTCCTCATCCGCAGGCCATCAACTGTTTCTTCATCCTGTACTACGTTCTGGAGATGGTCCTGAAAATGTTTTCCCTGGGAATAAAGAACTACATCTCTTACCCAAGCAACATTTTTGATGGATTTCTGACATTCATCTTACTGGTAGGACATTCTTCTATATTTCTTAGCTGCATCCATTGTGTGTGTTGTGCATGTTTTCAGGTTTTCTTGTTGCTAAAGACCGACTCCTTCCAAAATCCATTTTAGTTTTGCACAGAGTGGGTAAGGGGTACATAAAAACAATCTTGCAGCAGAAAAACCTTTCTATGATAACTTCCACCCCAAAAGAAAAGTCAACAACTTTCACCCTTGAAAGTAAACGTAAATAGTAACAAACTTTTCTCCGCTCATAAATAACTAAAATAATAATTAGTGTCCAAACCATGTGAATGTCCTCAATAAGTAAATAAATTACGTCTGACGCACTCCCGCTTACTGGAAGTGCGATCGTGGCCATTTTGAAAGTGGGAACATGCGGTGGTTCCCATACTAAATAGCTGTCTCTGTGTGTGGAAGCTGATTTCTGCTTTTTATAATGTAAGTTACTCAATAAATGTTTGTTTACTTTTTACACCATCGTCTCTAAAACCCTGATTTATTTCATGAGGAAAATGGAGGAGATATATCAAGATCCTAGATTGTAAGCTCGAAAGAGCAGGGCCCTCGATCCCCTCATGTTTTGCATTGTATTGGTATTGTTCTGTCACATGTTCTGTCCCCCTTTGTAATGTACAGCGCTGAGTGAACTATTGGCGCTTTATAAATACTGTATAATAATAATTAATTAGGAGCCTGGAGAGTCTTTTCCATCCATTTGAGAAGTGCCTGTTTGTTGTACTGACATTTGGTAATTATTCACTTTTACACCAGTTGGAGTGGAACGCTTTATCTGTTACTTATTTTTGTACGATATATTAAGAAATAAGGATTATATCCTTTTATTAGAGTTGTCTTGGAAGGTTGATCACTTTTTGTGTTGAGTGTATTTTTACACAATTTTTAAGTGAATCACTGTTGATTAGCGGTTTTTTTCACCATTTAGTGTATTCACGTGGGTGTTTTGATACACTATTATATATTTATATTGGTTGGAGAGTATATATTAATTAACTCATTTTTTTTTTGTTTTTTTTTTTCTTCACGTGTGTATTGCACTTGTTATGCAGTTTGCACGATTCACAATTTGTGGCACGCTATTTATATGAAAGGTAATACACTATTTTGAGTTTTTATTTTTTTTGAGGTACACGAAAATCCAGAAACACCTACGTGGGATAAAGTAAAGAGATACGTTTATATTTGAAGGATAAAGAGACTTATTATAGAAGACTTTATTTTATTTACTTATTGAGGACATTCACATGGTTTGGACACTAATTATTATTTATTATTTTAGTTATTTATGGAGTAAGGGGTACAGTCGCTGTAGGAATTCATGGAGTGTGCACATGACAGAAGGGAACCGGGCCATTCCGCTCTCAGCAGATTTGTGGCTTTCTCAGCCAGGCTGTGGTTAGGGCAGAAGTCACAGACAGAGAACAGTTACAGGAAACTTGTACTGACAGAAATACAGGGGCAGCCATTGCTGACGAAGAATAGTCCCCTAGCTGTCTCTGGGCCCACAAATTTCTAAGACAATGAC